CTTAGATCCAGAGTTACTCACAAGAAAAATTGCTTTCTTTCCCAGGAGGTGCTGTTCGGAGTGGAGTTATGCACTGTGGTGGCAAACTAATTCTCTTCGCTGATGCCGATGGCGCCACGAAGTTTTCGGATATTGAAAAGTTGGAAAAGGGCCTAATGCGAATAAGTCGAGGGCTTGACGAGACGTTTCCTGTTGTCGCTGTTGGATCGAGGTTTGAATATTGCATTCTATAAATTGTTATGTGGGTTGGAAAATAGCACTAAGAAGTCGTACTTGAAATTCTGGGTTGTGTCTAGTGATTACAGTTTGGAAAGCTTTCATCATAGACCCTGCTCACTTTCATATTAGACTGTGCATATCGCTTAAGAATTGAGAAAATGTATAATAATATGTTTGCGTCCTAAATTCAAAAAAAAAAAACGTTTGATAAGTCGTTTCAGTTTGACTTTCTTAATGAACTCCAATTTAAGAGCTCATCTCGAGGCAGAAGCAACTGCAACACGCTCGCTTTTTCGGAATTTCCTGATGCATGGTTTCCACTGGCTAGTTTATCTATTTTCTTCACGGACTGTTCGGGACACACAATGTGGATTCAAGCTGTTCACCAGAGCGGCAGCCGCCAGGGTTTGTTTGCTGTTCTTCGCTTTTTTCAATCATCAGTTTGTTGTCAGATGCTTGGGGAATCTATTTTCTTTGTTTACCTGTAGGTATTTCCTGTGCTCCACGTTGAACGATGGGCTTTTGATGTTGAACTCATCTATCTATGTGAGCTTTGGATGATACCCATAGTGGAGGTAAAATATTTGCTCTGCTCGGCTTACACTTTTCACAATAAAAGCCTAACTCTGTGGATATTTCAGATTTCTGTGACCTGGCACGAGGTGGAAGGCTCCAAAATAGTTCCAGTTATATCATGGTTACAGATGGGAAGAGATTTGATTCTCATCTGGTTTCGGTATCGTTTCGGGATTTGGACGGACACCGTCCAAGAGTGATAAAGTTAGGCTATTCTTCAACGCTGACTGTGATATTGGTTCTGCTGGTATTCTTAATTCCTACTCCTTTTTCACTTTGATGCGCTCTCTATGCCAAAAGTTTTAATTTTATCTGTTCTCTAATTGAGCAACATCTTCTCTTCTGAATATTTCATGTTGTCATTAGGTTTATTTTGGACGTTTTTCTTGAGATATTTGTTTGAATTTTTCCATTTATTGTTATTTCTAGCTTTATCGATTGAGTTACTTTTTGGGGTCATGATTTTGAGCATGTTGTTATCGATAAAAACTAGTCACTATGAGCTAGTATTGCGCACAATGCTTGTTAACGCTGGCACTACTTTCATCGAAATCTATCGCTGCTAATTGTCCAAGAAAGGGTGTGAAAGGAGAGCGCATTAGAGGTGGTTTTCAGATGGGAGGTAAACGTGTAGCAAGGACTAAGTCGGAACCTATGGATGCTGAAAGTTACCATGTTAACGAAATCAAGATGGAAGAGGAGAGGGTTCTAAACGTGAGTTGTACTCGCATTATATCATATTCTCGTAACATCTCGCAACAATTTCAGACTTACGATGATGACTTAGACTACGCACAGGTGCAAGCAGGACCCTTCGATGTAACCAGCTATTGCAAGCGCATTGAGGTAATCCTGTTGAACTGAAGTTGCTTTTCGTTCGAGATAATTTTTCGTCCATTTTAGGTGCAAGTTGTGAACGATTTGGAAGATGGCATGTCGCTGGACTTCGATCTTATCAATGTTGAGGCTCCCATAGCAAATGCTTTGAGAAGGGTCTTGTTAGCCGAGGTAGCTTGTTATTAAATACTAGGTTCGGCTTCTTAGTCTTATCCCGCTTTATAGTAGAGGTCGCGGCGGTCGTAGTTTGTTCGCTTCACCTAACACTGTACCGCTTTTACGCTGAGCTTTAATGCTTTACTTCTTCTTTCCTTGGTGGGAATGCTGCTGTATTTGCGTACATTTACGCGGGTTTCGTAGGTTTTGCATCCACCTAATTATAGTAGAGCACCTGATGACTTCAGTGCTGTTTTGCAGCGGCTCGCCATAACTCTAAGGCCTTGATTTTCAAGAATCGAGACATTTAAATGTGGTGGATATTTCAGGTTCCCACAATGGCAATAGAGAAAATATATCTTTACCAAAATACTAGCGTTATACAGGTAAGGTCACTTTCAGGCTTACGACTATCA